TAAAAATGGACATAAAAGTTTTTTTTGATGACTTCCAATCTATCTATTGTCATCAATGGCAACATAAGCTAATTAAAGGAAGACTAAGTATACAAATTCCCAACAATTTTTCAGATAACAAGCAAATGTTAAGAACCCCATTATCATTAAAATATGATGCGACAACTAAAAATTATAATACGAATATAATTAGCTATTATGAAAATGGCCAATTTTAATAGAAATTACCTAAAATATACTAATATTGATTTGCTCACAAATTTAGAAAGGTTAATTCATTTTTTAATCATTTCAAATTTGATATGGCACGATTATTAATTATCAATAGCCCATTTCTCTATTTTAGTCGTGTCAATTTCCTTGCAACTTTATTAAGTAAAGTTCAAGTAGATTGTTTTCTTTATAATGAGAATGAATTTGATAAAGCCTGGAATAGGTCACCGAAAAGTAGGACTCGAGGTTGGTAGTAGCATCTTGGTATATTTTGCATCATAAATATTAAGATTGATATATGAATGAATTCAATTCCAATAAATTCCTGAACGAATTTCTAATTATAATGTGAAACGTTCAGGCAATTTTCACAAGCATGTGAAATTGTTGACAAGGAATGACTGTGAAGAATTGAGTATCGTCCCACGAGAAATAAATTTTAATTCAAGTGTACTAGTTTGTATTGAATCCAAATTATATAACACAAAAGATATGATTTTGTTAACGATAAAAATAAATGAAAAATAGAAAAATGAAGAAAGATATGATTTTGTTATTTATTCTAAATTATTCTACGAAATAAGCAAATGGTTTTGTTTGTATAAATGAATGGATAATTGTTTTGAATTTTCAAATCGGCCTATTATGTTTCAATTCTTAACTATGTACTCCAGTTTTATTAATGCATTCTTGACAATCAGTAATGTTGAAATAAATTAAATATATTTTATACTCAATCTGATCCTATTCTTAGTCTAAATTCGAATGAGTGGAATGCACTCGATTTTATGATTATCTAAATGACTGCACACGAGATATATGTTATTCTTAACATCTATTCACCGTGTGTTAAGCTTGTAGCGTTCTAAACTTAATTGTGAACTTTTCACCACTACAATAGCAACTAATTATCTAATTGATGGTTAAGCAATTAAATACCGCAACGAGAATGCAAGATTAATCAAGAAAAATAAGAATTATTAAACTAATTGTCTCGAGTTAAAACAAATAAAGTTCATTTTCATCTAATACAAACAAGGATTTAGCCTAATATGATTTTATATAAATTACAATATGGATAATGAACAAATATCACGAGAATATGAATGAGAAAGAGATACTGATGTTCAATTCAAAGCTTGAAATATTCAAGTTCAAGGTGAGATGTTTTATTGTTGAACCACCTCATATAAAAGTTTAAACTTTTAAATGAGGTGATTTAATATGATAAAGGACCTAGGCTCAAATATTGATGTCGTCTATGTACAGGGCAGGCCTCAGATTTACGGACTTTTATAATGGCTCCCTTTAGGTAACTAAAAAACTATATTAAAAAAATAATATTTCAATAATATTATTTCATTGCAAAAATAAAATGTTGAAATCTTTGATTATTTTTTGACTTATCGTGAATAAGAAATTACAAGTAGAGCTCAAAAGCACCTCTTGAACTTCATCAAAATTCACATATCGTCAGCAAATAACCATCCAAACCACTAACCTTTTCATGTAATTTCAGATAAGCCGCAAACCTTGAAATCAAAATTAGTAAATGCCACCTGTGAACCTTGAAATATAGAAAATCATGTAAAAATATTTCTTCTTGCATTTTTAGAAGCAAACTGAATAATCAAACTTTTGTAATGATCAACATATTCTAGCAAATCATATTCAATAGATATCAAAGCTAAGACATTCAATCATTCTTGTAATATGAAATGCGATTTTAATAACTTCAATTTTAAAAAATTTCTTATGACAGCTACAACAATAATAGGAATTGTCAATAATATTTTATAAGTAATAAATGTATTCGAAAAACAATTCAATCTTTTCAAACAAGTCAATATATCAAGAGCCGTCTTTGTTTCTTTTGATAAGAGATTTTGCAAAATTTTTAACTTTTAAAACAAATCTTCGTCATAAAGATCATACAAATTTACATGTCTTAGAATAATGTCAAGATGATCAAAAAATGCTTTCAAGTTAGTATCATCCAATGACTTTAACTTGTCACAATAAATCCCAAACTTTTTTCATATAAGTTAATTGATCAAACCTTCGGTAGGTAATTGTGCATCCTCTACAGTGACATTTTATCAAAATGTTTCTTCCTACAAATTATACATTTCACTTGAAAAAAAGGATTAATTTTTATTTAAATGACAATTTATTTAGAAATATTTATCGCATAATTGAATCCAATTTCCCTCTGTGTGTGTGTGTGTGTCTGTCTGTCTGTCAGTATTAAAAAATAAAAAAGCAATCAACCCTTTTTCTTCCTCAATAGCAATGTCAATAAGCAAATCATTAGATTGTATGCATTTACTAATCAAGTTAGCAACATACAATATATGATACCATATAATCATAGCTACTAAATCCTAAATAACTAGAATTCAACAAAGGCTTTTTCTAATTTATCAAGATGTACATATCAAACTTGAAAAGAATATAATTTGCCATTACCTTCAGATTTTAACGGGCATTGAAAAGATCCACATACCATAAAGCAGTGATAATGAAACAAAATCCCAGATTTTAGGAATCACGAAAATTATATTTAAGACATGATACTTTTTACTCTCTTCCCTTACCCCTCACATTATTTAAGGTAAGATACTATTTAAGAAAATTATATAACTAGTAAGTCACATTATTCTTAGCTTTAGTGCCTTATGCAATTGCATATCACACCAAGCCAAATGCCTATAATCCATAAATAAATAATCCGTAAATGAAAATTGTGAAGCACTACTCATCGAAATAAGCTAAGAAGGAGCCTAAACCATGAGAATCCTTTCTCCATGCTTTAATAAAAATATCTTGGTATGATATGCAATTAGGAACAAAAAATAAGAATCCTAAATAAGAATCATTATTTGTCTTTTTGGTGTCACTACAATGCTGAGGCTCGGTGCGATCACTCAATTCGTGCACCCTCAAGATCACCTCTATGTTGGGAATCTACTTAACATGCGCGCTGAAAATAAAAAAAATTTCAATTCCCACCAGGAATCATCTTTGTGTTTAGATAGAAATTTGTGATAAAAGTCATACATTTTTCTAGATTTGCAAACTCCTTTGCTTTTCTTTCGTTCCAAAGATCTTGATCTGCCAACCATAGCTGTTCAATTATTCAGCCTCCAATGGTGAGCCACACAGAGAACAAAATTATAGGATTATAATTTTCTCCTCTTGTGCCAACAAGAATGAATTCTCTATAAAATTATAAACCCTAATAACTTATTTATATAAGCCTAAATAGACTTGACCTGACCGGTCCAATATTTAATTAATCCATTTAATTAAATCTGGTTCGTGAATTAATTAATTCAATTAATTAATTTGTGCCTATAAATAAGCAGCCCAATTAGTTAATTTATACAATCCTTGTTAAATTAATTAATCGATAAATCAGAATCTTTCAGTTCTCCTTTTGTGTGCGACATACCAGGTTCTCGATCACGATATCTAACGACGTGAAATATTATTTTGATCTACTCAAAATTGATAAATTAAAACACCCTTTTAATTTATCACAAATTCACACTCGCCATCTCAGATTGACATCTAGCTATGTATCAGGGCAATACATATGATGGGAAATGTCATCTGGTATGACAAAACTAAACTCATTCGTTTAACGTGAAACTTAATCCCTTTGTTAATATAATCCGATCAATTACGAGATATGGAAATATGTCAATCACGATTATCGATCATATCTTTCACTCCACTATTAAGTTAATATAAGTCGAAAACTCATTTTCAACTTATGAGTATACCTTGGCCAAGGATTTCGTTATCGACTTAATTGAATAAGATGCAGATTATAATCTCTTACTATCTAAGAGTGACAAATCCTCTATTGTCATTCATAACATTCATGCGATTCTTGACATACCCGAATGATGCCATATTAGCAACCCTCAACAGAGCAACATCCAACACCGTCAAAGCATGACTATCCTCATATAAGGTACTATGACGACCTAAAGTCAAAGGACCAATCCCACTACCGAATATTAGAGATTAACCATTGACACTCAAATGGTTATCCATGTGGAATCTCTAGGTGGATCTCCAATATTTTGTTTTATAACAAAATATCCACGTGTTAATTCAAGTGTCACCACACTTTAACTTGTGAGATCAGCTACTTACATCACAAGTAAGAAAAGCCACACGTGATAGTCTAACCGTAATAACGATATCTATATCTCGTTATTACTTATAACCACAGACAATTTAAGATTCAATTATATGTAATTTGTATCTCACAATCACAACTTCTTGTGATTAACAAATTACGAAAATTTGAATTTACGGACTCTATTATTTAATTTAATTGTATATTAATTATATATAGTTCTACCATTAAATTGTATTAATTATATATTAAAAGTATTTATGTCCAAAATTGATTGGACCTAGGGCATAACACTTACATTCTGTCCATATATTAAAATAAGGTTAAATAACCAAGTGTGATAATTCTCTAGTAGCTAAAGTTTTCAATCAAGATTACTGAACACATGGGGAGAAATTATATATGATTAAGGAATTAGCATAAGATTATATTTGTGTATCACACATATTTTATCTGATAAGCAATAACTGTAACAAAATTACAACATAGTCATACATTAAATATTTATAGTTCAAGCATTTAAGGCATTTTTCTATTTATAATACAGAACATGATCAGACACTATAATAAATAGGAATTTATTTTCGATTAAAATTTTAGATTCATTCAACATTGTACTCCAACTTACTAGACATAATGTAACAACACCTTAGACAGTGCCATGACTTGTAGTTCCCGAACCTTGAATCCTTTCTTTCGGGCTCAAATATTTTATTAACTTTCGTACCATCTTGATTAGCAATCGAATCGTGTGTCCAATGAGTAGCAGAACCATGAGGCCAAGCCATATATAAAGTGATAACCCAATCAAAATTATAATTGTTTGTTTTTCTCTCTCTTTCTCTGGTGTTATAACAGATATTGAAAAGAGATAAGTCACTGCAACTGCTGTAATTGCAATCCAAGTGATCACCATCAAAATCCACATAAATATTCTCCTCCTTAGAGGTAAACCACTCATCAACAATAATATGATACTGAGTGATGCAATGAGTCCTGCTGTATTAGCAATCAAGAACTGTCTATAATCCTCCGGATGATTATGAATGAAAATGGATTCTCCAGCCTTGTGAGAATCGGATGCTGATATAGTATGACCATGTGAGTTAACCTTATAATTATCCTGCCATACTCCACACGGAGGATTGATTCCAACTTGAAATGCCATGGTTGCAATTAAAGAAGCCACTACCATTAATGCACTTCATTTTTTCTCCAACCAATCATCTTTCTGTTTAAACATCTTTTCTCTACTGTTCTTTTTCACATTTGAGGACAAATCTCGGTGTTCATAGGACAAATTTGAGCTTGGACTAGTTATGTTATGATTAATTTGGACTAATGAATTGTTTTCTGTTGATTTAAATGCTCCAGCACATTTCAGAGTTTCTTCAATTTCTTCATCCCTCACATCAATCCAACTATGGATCAAAACATCCATTGCAGTCATCCCACAGAGATTCTGAGAGTTAACTTCCATTGCAGACTCCATAAGCAAAAATTTAACTGTCTGTAGACATTTCAAAATAATTAGTACATGTTTGGTATACAATATTTTAACATTGTACAAAAGAATATTATAGCTTCTCTTTTGTTTTCGATTCTAAATCCTCCTACCAAATGGTTAAGTCTATTTATAAACTGCTGACATAAAAAGCTCAGTTATTTCTTGAAAAATAAAATGAAGAAAATAGAGTTATTGGCATACCTCAACTTGTTTGTCAGCTACTGCCAAGTGTAAAATAGTATTTCCAACACTATCTTTACAATTTGTGAAATCTTGATCTCTAATATTATTCACTAAGAGCTTTAAGGCCTCAATCTGACAGTACTTCGCACACAAATGCAGAATAGTCTTACCTTGAGTCACGATCACTCGAGCTGCATCAGGTTTTGCATGAACCAACTCTTTCACGACTTCAATCCGGCCTTTGATGGCTGCCAGATGGAGAGGCGTCAGACCATTTCTATCACGAGCTAGGCACATTAGAGGATTAGCTGATAACAGCACTCTAACTACCTCGATATGACCTTTAGCGGATGCCAAATGGAGAGGCGATGATTGACGTAAATTCAATTCTCGTGCAATTTCAGGTCTTCGTCTTAAGATTTCCTTCACAAAATCGATATGTCCCAATATTGCTGCTACGTGCAAAGGATTATCAGAGTAACTATTAACTATAACTCTATCAAGAATTATTGGATCTTCTTGAAGCAGCTTCTTCAAAGAATTTATATTTCCTTCAGCTGCTGCTTCAAAAAGCAGATTTTCCAATGTCTCCATCTCCTACCCCAATTTGAGAACCTTTCAAGATCTATTGCATTTATACATGATTTATCTGATGACGACTGTTCTCAGTCAATATCTAAAGAATACGACTTGGATTTTTCTTCTAATGGTTGAAAAGTCCATTAAATATTTTATAAAAACAAGTACTGGTATAGAAATATACATAAGAAATAGACTGTGTCCATAATTATGGAAGTCTAAAATATTATTCTTTTGGACAAACTTTAACAAGATGTTGACTATGTTCATTATATGGACCTCAAGTAACAGATTATAATGGATTGAGATGGCCTTTTGTAGCCCCATCCCATCGGAACGTTTGGAGAGTGGGACAAGAATGGGATAGGAAGGGAAAAGGGTAAAAGTGGGGTGAGGTTTGGATTAAAATATTCTCATTCGGGGATTTTAATAACAATATTTTTTTAAAATGAAAATTAAATTTAAAATAAATAGATAAATAAATAAAATTTAGGTGAGTTCGGGGATTTTAGGACTTGGCGGTGTATTTTGTCACTCCTAGATTAAGTTGAAGTCGACTTCATTATTATAATTAGAAGTAGCTAAAAATCCAAAAACTATTTAATTACAGCTTGATTGGGAGCGCTTTTTTGCCCCCAAAAATTAATTTTTTGATCGTTATTTCACTATTTCATCCTTCATATTTGACTTTTCCTTTCACAGGTGGACCTCATTTTTCTCCCAACAGTCAAAAAATCAATTCTCAAAATCACTCCCAAACAAGCTCTTAATAAGATGCCTATAAAAGCAGTAAAAAAAGAAAAGATGATTTATTTAAGTTGGAGAGAGAAATGAGAGCTGATTGATTGGATTACCCTAACTTTAATTATAGTTGTTTAATAGCCAAAGTGAGGAGAGAGAGAGAGAGAAGAAAATTCTCAGGACTCTATTTTAGTATTACATATTCAACACAAGGAAGGAAAGAGGAACCTAGCCAATAATAGTGTGGCAAGTAGCCATTGACTATGGCCCGTTGGTTTGATTAGTCATAGGTTGAGGGGCGACATTAGGTAAACAAGGGAAGGGAAAGAAGTAAAAAGAATGACCAATCAGGCTCCAGTTGAAAAGAATAATCTAAATGCCTAAGAATAGTCTAAACAAACAGCAGAAAATTAAAACTAACACGAAAGAGAGAGAGTGAAAGTTAAACACGATTTGGCACTTTCGAAGAAAAAGATAATGCACAAGGGAACGCGTTAGGCCAACCAGGAAAATGAAGTAAGCCCCCCTTTTACGTCCATTTTTTTCAAAATTTAATGTTTGGAATAGTGCTTTTTTGAAGGATGTGTGGTTGAATAATAATGAAAAAATTTTCATTTACGTGTAATATTATTTTATAAAAAATTGTGCAATTAAAAATAAGAGAGGAGGAAAAAATAAAAGAGAATGAAGACCAGAGATAAATATCATAAAAAGCTAGAAATTTTTCTCGTTTTGAGTGATGGGAATTAGGGGGGTATTATTATAAATGACCTGCTACTATTCATTTTTAATAAAATGTCTATTATACCCTTAATGAAATAATTTATCATATAT